GAAAAAGAGATACAGTCTGTGATATCATTTCTTGCTCTTGATATATTTAGTCTCTATGTGTGAGATTCAGCAGATCATTCAGTTTAGCCAGAAGATATTATATATAGTAGTGAAATCAGCTGTTATTGTATAGATTATAGTTCAGATTCAGTTGATTCTTATCATTAATAAAGCAGTTTCAGCATGATCTTCTTACTGTTAATTCTTTGATCTCTGTATTACTATTTTACCGCAGCATATCTTCAAGAAATGCAATATAAAATGCAATCACTCTCTTCTTTTTTTCATCAATATTCATCATAATTCTCTCACAATTCAATATAGATAAGTCTTGTGATAATGCAGCAACTGTATCAGAAAAATTGATATTATGAAAATCAAAGATTAGAGTAAAAATATTATTTTACTTTAAATGTTCAACAGCACTCAGTGCAGAAATTAAATAAAAACTCATCAAGCTTTGATACATGTTCTGATATAAATCAAATTCATCAATAAATAATTGATATGACAGGAAAATAACTTGTATATCAGAATAAAACATGCTTTTCAAAAGATCTTATTCATATGCTACAATTTTCAACTCAGTCTGAATCAGTGAAGATTTGTAATATAGTTATATCTTAACAACTTCAGTTTCAATTCTCATGACTCAGTGAAGAAAATACTGATCTTGACTCTCATATACTGACAGATCAGAACCTGATTCAAATACTGTATTTATATAAATATTAAGTTAATCAAGAACTTGAGTAATTGAGATATATTTCATTTCATTCTTTATTGTGATTATTTTGAAGAGACTAAATGATGAATTCAAGAACAGTAATCTTTGTACAGTCTGCAGAGTATAGTGAACAGCTTCTTAAACTTTCAGAACTATTATATAAGACCTTATATCCGAATGTCAGTGATCATGTCTGATAAAATACACTCTCTCAATATGAGATGTATCATTTAACTCTGCTTTGCAAACACATTCAAGATTCTCACACTGATACTGAATAAAATCAGAAGAAAAAATAGGTTTATTTGATGAATATCATGCAAAGTCATTAGAATAATATTTAACTAAGCTTTCTTAACTGTGAGATTATCATAACTCTGTGAAATTGTTGACAATTTCTGTCATTTCTATATGCATTTATTGCTGAAAAGTTGGGAATTTGAGAAGAGCAGATATCAAGAGAATCAGATTTTAGAAGTAGAGTAATCTCATAAAGAATTCAGTGAGATTTTTCTGAGCAGAACTCAGAGTTGATATTTGTATTGATAATACTATTGAAATTGAGGTTTTCTTAACTGATAAAATCAGAAATTGTGCTCTGTATTACTTTTTCAGAGTTGAGAGATCTTCTGAGAGTAGACTTATCAGTGATGTATTCTTCAATAAATGCAGAATTTACATTAATGATTTGTAGTTTTTTTGAGAAATATCTGACTGTTCAGCTCAGAGTCTCATTATCAGAATAAATGAATTCATTTCAAAGTTACTATGTTTATGAGATATACCAATTGCTAAATCAGAATCAACAAATTAATCAGTAATAGTAACAGCAATTGCATCAGCAACTGATATTTTAATATCATCAGTGACTGACTTATCAGAATTCTCTTAATCATCATTTTTGAAAATATTCTTCTGAGTAGCTGTGTTCAAAAGTCACTCAATATACTTAATATTATCAGCAGCATTCTCATTATATGACTCTGTCTTTAGAGAATGTTAGTTATTATAACAATAGAGATATCAAAAGTAATAAACTTACTGAAAATAGCAATACTTCTTCATCAGAAGCATCATTATCAGAATCACTTTCAGTGAAATCTTCATTTGCAGTTTCTGGAAAAAGAGAGTTCTGAGATTGAAATTCTGATTGATCATTCTCAAATTCTTGTCTAGAGACAGATAGCAGATAGTGTTTCAGATTTTAATTAAACAGATACAACATGTTACTTTCTGATATGATTTGTAGAAAAAAGTTGCGTAGTTGAAAAGATATAAATGAAGTGAATGAGTAATCTTGATAAAATAAAGAGATGTGATTGAATTATTAAAAAGAGATATATTAATAAGAGCTGTAATCAGTGACAATGTACATTAATTTAATATTAATAATCAAACTACTTTCTTTGTTTCAAAATTATATTCCTGCAATTTGTTAAAATTCATATTATAAATTTATCAGAGTTTTATCAAGATTCTGAAAATGAATATTATCATGAATTCTACTCTACTAGATCTCTTCAAACTCTCTCATCTGATAGATTTAATAAGACAAATCACTGATTTCAAAAGAAATCTGATATTGATATATCTGAATATAGAATGAATATAATGATAGCAATGATAAATATCAGTTAGATGAGAAGAAGTCAAACACATCACTGATATTAAGCAGTCTATTAAAAAGGCATCACTGAACCCGGCATCTGAATGCAGAAATGTATGAGAAGAACATTCAGTCAACAGAGCAGTGTCTGCATCTGAAGACAAAGTGAATGTATTTTCTTTCTTTTAATAAAGATAATTTGAATCAGACAGTTGCAAGTGTGATAAAAATAAAAGATAAAACTTCATACATATTTTCATTCAGCAGGATCATGATGCTGAATGTGATTAAAATATGAAAGCTTCAAACTCTAAAAGAAATGAAGACAAGTAGTATTCTCACTCAGTATTTAGATTTTAGCAAAAATAACAGCTTTTCAGTGAAATATCTTAAACCTCTAATAAGAATTCTCAACTTTTCAGTGAGATATATCAAGTCTCTGATGAGAAATCTTGAGCTGTCAGTGAAAATCTTAAGCTGTCAGTGAAAATCTTGAGCTGTCAGTGAAATATCTTAAATCTCTGATGAGTTATGACAAATCACTGATAGAAAATATCAACTTTTCAGTGAGAAATCTTAGAAAAATTTCTACTCTTTCAGTCAGATATCTCAGAGAAATCTAAACTTTTCTGACTAACTTAGTGAACTATATATTAATATAGAATCATATTCAATGAGAAAAGATAAAGAGCAGAGAAAGTTTGATAGTAATTGAATTACATAACTACTATGAAGAATCAATCATCTTTAAATACTTCTGTAATTCATTTATCACTGAAAAGTTCTTTCTGATTTTTTACTGAATGTGAAAAGTTATTGACTTTGATCAATTCTCTGAGTGAGAACAATGATATATGAAATATAAGTTGAATATTCATTAGTTAAAGACATTGAATTGAAAACTTCAGATTGAAAAACTAGAAACTGATTCTGAAAAATAGAGATATATACAAATCTTACAATTCAGCTTAAAATATTCAATGATACTGACACAAATGAAAATTTCACTGCAGTTATATTACAATGATAAAATATTCTAACATTCTAAGATCTTATAAGTGATATTCTCAAATATCAGTAAATTGTCAGAGATGACTTTACTGAGACAATTCAGAATACTCTGACAGTGAAAAAGAGATATCTGATGACAGATGTATGAGAGAAGATGTAGAAAAAGATCAAATTTTCAGAGACACTTTCAGTGAAAGATAGATTAATATAGAGATTTTTAACACAATCTATTTCTATTTAATATATTTAATTTTTCATGAGTTTTATATATAAATTAATTAATATATACTTTAATATACATAATTAGAATATATTTGTCTTGATATTCATTAAAGAAAGTTGCTATATTCTCTATCTTTCAATTTATATAGTCATGACTGTGAAGAATTCACTGATTTCACTGTACTGAGAAATCTTTTTATAAATCTTAAATTCTGTAGATATATTTCTGACAGTGTATTGAACATATGTTTTTAGTTAATAGAAATGATTTTATATTTAAAATAGTAGTAATTCATTCAGTAATAGTCTGTACAGAGAGTATTTATTCTGAAAATAAGATATAGATGAAATCTGTCAGATGCACTGATTATATAAGAGTGAAATATGAAAATATTCACATTTATTATATAACAATCTACAAAGATAAATCAATAATGTATATAGAGAGAATAACTTATCATCTTCTTTTTCTTTCTTTCTTTCTTTCTTCTTCTTATAATTATATTATATTATGAAGATTATTCTCAGTTCACTCTATTCTCTCTCATCTTTAGCAAGATTAGTATTCTGTCAGTTGCAATAGAAAGCTTTTAATAAGAAAAGTTCTAATTTCAAAGATATCTTATTCACAGCATATTAAGAATATCAGTAATTTATTCATTATATTAACATTAGTAACATTAGTAACAATAGTAGCAGTAACAGTAAAAATGACTGATAATATACTTAAGTGTATCTATGCTATCACTGTAAAAGCTCAGAAGAAAGAGATAAGTAACTGTCTGAATACTCTGATAAAGCAGTCTGATAAATAAATAATATATAAGTACTGTATTAAGTATATTTTTTCTCATCATTTAAATTCCTACTTATAATGAGATAGAGAGAAGCTCAAAGTCTTACATAAATTATAATTATAAGAAAAAGAGATGTATAATTATCTCTGAAGAATTAAAAGAATAAGTTAATAATTTAATTTGAATTCATGACTTTTATCTTTCTATATTGAATGATTTTAAGAAAACAATAAAGAGAGCTATATTGAAATTAGTGAAAAATCTTTTAAAATAGATTAAGAAAGTCAAAACTCACTAATAGAAAGTAAAAGCTTAATATATAAAGAGTATCACTATTGCTCTGAAAGCTCTGAATATTATTATCAGTATCACTGAAAAAGCTAAAATCAAGATTGAGAAGATTCAGTTGAATATTGAAAGAATAAAATTAGAAATTGAAAAGAAAAAAGTTATCATAGAAAAGAAGAAAATCACAATTAAAAAAATAAAACTTGATATTAGAACTATCAAGCTTGAAGTATATTATACACTTTTGAGAATAATAGTTAGTTATATTGAAGAATAAAAATCAGTGATGAAGAATCTTATAAATTTAATAAATAATGTCAATACTGAAGCTAGCTATATTATCATTAAGATGTGTAAAACAATGAAGTATATTCAGAGACTTATAGATTATCTTGATAAGAATTCAGTTATAGTCAGTAATAGTAGTAGCAGTGATGAGAAATTTAATAACAGTGATAATTCTCTTTTCATCTCTTTTATTAATATTTCTACTGCTACTATTAATTCTTCTCTCTCTTTCTTCTCTAATCTTCTAACTCTGATTGATTCTCTGACTATAAGCAGCACTGAAACTCTCAATATTCTCAGTGAAAAAGTAAGTTAGAATCAATGAAATAATTCTCAGATTTATACAGAAGTTAATAATAATATAGATAAATAAATATATAACTCTTAATCTCTCTGAAATCTCTTCTTTTAAACAGTAAATAATTATTAACACTGATTCTTCATTAACTTTAATATCAATTCACAAGTTCTCTGAAATAAATGTTGATGTGAATATGACAGAAAATGATAATAATAATATAGAGATGATTCAGAGAATTTAAGAGAAATTATAGAGAAATATAACAGATTTTCAATAGAGAATGATTTCAGTAAATAAGATATTTTTTAGAATTAGTGATTATATAGATAGAAATCAGCAATATTATCAATATAATGATGATTTTATTCTGTTCATAACTCATTTACAGTGATTTCACAGCTAATTCATCATTATATTAAGTTTTACAGTTCAGTGATGGTGTCAGTGACTGGCACAGCGGAACAACCATAACCCGGTCGTATAATAAGCCTACGTTTTTCCGGTATGGATCCATTTAGTGTAACTCGCGTAGATAGATTACACACACACAACAACGTTATCCTCCAAGACCCTCCCCGATCACATGATGGACTCTGGGAATAACACTTTATCCGGTTTGTCTCCCATGGTTCACGTTAACTAAATCCGGCAAAGCAATACCTCTACCTCGTGACTGGGAGCTCTCTCCCCAGACCTCCAGCGCTTGATATTCCCCTCCTCCCCTGAAGTATAACTCTTCTCTTTTGAAGCTTTCTAATACTTTGTCGCCGTGAAATACGCTTCGTATGAGCTCCTATTGTTAATGCGAGCCTCTTCCCAATGCGTCACCTGTGACTGCATGATCACCCCTATCGCACTGATGGTGACACCCCACTCTCCTATCACATTGTCTCCAACGGAGCCTTGACCGAGCGGAAACTTTTCACCTTTTCCCTCGAGCGCCTCGTGATCTCCATGATATCTGACGATTCGGATGAGCGTGGCATCATGGAGGGGCCCTCAGATCCGGATGCGCAGGCTACCGTGACCGATTTTATCGACTATACCGAATACCTCCCTTCAGACCTCGTTCGTTCCCTGACCCTGATTCGTGGCCTGGATGAGACCTACCTGGACGCTGCAGCCTCCGTACACGAGCTTACAAAGATCTATGGACAACTACCCAATCTGCCAGCAGATTCGCGGCCTGACCCCGTCGTTCTACGAAGACAAATATCAGAACAATTGGGGCGCGTGATGAATGCGCGAGAGTCTGCCTACGCGGAAGCATGTCGCCTCTACGATGTGGTTGATCGCCACTTTGACCGCCTTGGGAGCATCAAATCCAAGTTGAATGCACTACTAAAGACTTGTACTGCAATTTCCCGCGACGAGTCTGCCCCTCCTCTAGCCGAATCATCACTTGAAACAAAACGAGAAAGAAGTGGCCGTAAAGCTGGCGAGACACGTTCTACACAAAGGATAACTTTGCATATCGATGGAACCCGACAAGTTGTGGCTGGTTCGACCGTTAATGAAACACGCCCACAAAATGGAAAGCCACAGGGCGTAGCGACCCGAGGTCCTAACCATGTTCTGCGAAATCCGGACTCACCTATTGCCAGCACGGAGCAATCAGACGATGATCTTGGGCCCAGCTCGTCGCATGCTGCCGAAGCCGCCCAGTCGCTCGACACATCCAAGAACAAAAGAAAGTCGAAAAAGCAGAAACATGTGATCAGCCGTCACATCTCTCAGCCGTCAGATTCTAGTGGGAATGCGGAGATAAGTCAAATCGATACCTCTACTAGCAATGCTTTGGCAATGCTAAAACCTCCCCCGGACGATGCAAAAATCGGAAGCGAACATTTCCCATGGCTCCGTTTGACTGAATGGGAAATGACCAAGCTTCGAAAGAAGATGAAGAAGAACAATATTTGGCAACCTAGTGAAATTATGATCCACCGAGAACTTGCGCTGCGTGGTCGAGGATGGGAAGGCTACAGAGCAGCCAAGCTGAACGCTGAAGCAACCGGCGCTGAGTTTGTAGACTGCGACGACATAACGAACAATTATGTTCCAGGAAAACTTGTCCGAAAAAGCGAAGTAAACGCGGATGTTTCGGGGGTGGAGGAAACCAAACTAAGTAACCGAGGTATGAAACTTAACGAGGCGAAGAAGCTGAAACGCGAAAACCTTGCACGGGAACAGGCAGCTCTCGCTGCGGCCGAAGCGGAGATGGCGGCGAGACGACTCGGGGACATCGGGTCTACATTTAAAAGCTTGTTTCCAAGCCCTGCTGAGCAGAATCTTTACAATAACGTTCAATCTGGACTTTTAGGTACACCTTTCAAAGCTAACGGTCCTGCAGTGAAAGATAGGCCAAAGGTATCAAAGCAGACCATGAAGAAGAGAAAATTTGAGGAGACGGCCGTTTTAGAATCATCACAAGATGTTGAATCTCCCGCTCCTATCTCCTTAGCTACAGTCAGGCCGTCAACTAAAAAGCGCAAGCTTAGCAAATCTGCTTCTACAAGTGCCGTGAACACAGCTGGAGATGAATTTTTAGTGGAAAGTGCAGCGATGGGTATAGGCCCTCGAACTTCTCCTTCTGTTGGCCCATCCGCTATCTCGAAACGGTCACCGCGTGCTTTATCTCCGGCGAAATTGCGCCGAACAACAGGTTCCGTGGCTGCCAGGATCCGTCCCACCCCCACACCGCCTGCTACTCGAGCAGGCTCTCGACCACGTTCCGCCACTGGAGCCTCTGGAGAATCGATTGGCCGAGATCGACCTCGAAGGAAGAGCGCAACCCCAGCAGTTGCCAAGGCCACACCTGGAGCGGATCAACCCGCCGGTACAACCGCAGCTGGTCGCCGTAGCAGGCGCCCTGCGCCAGGACCCGTAACATCTGGCCAGGATGGCGGCGCTGCCGTAAGTGTAGGCCGTCGCAAGGCCAAACCAGTGAAGAAAAGGAAGGATCAGAACATGGCTCCCAGGACCGAGGATATACGGATGGATGAGGATGGCTTCCTGGAAGAAATCGACCCGAACGAACCAAGATACTGTCTCTGTGGAGACGTGAGTTTCGGTACCATGATCTGCTGCGAGGATAATGATGTGAGTGGCCATCGTAAATGTCCTCTTTAAGTGTACTGCTTCTGCTTTTTTATTCCTTACTTTTATACCATTTTCATGATTGTAACATGTTTTGTATCTTGCACTTCACAATTAGGCGTCCTTCCAATCGTGTTTTATCCCCTCTTTTTTTGCCAATGCTTTTACTAACACACAGTACTAATTAAACAAACAAAACTAACGTGATTTAATTTATTTTTCTCAGTGCGACAAAGAATGGTTCCATCTCGACTGTGTCGGCCTCTCAGAAGTTCCAAGTCGGACGGCGAAGTGGTACTGCCCAGAATGTCGGAAAAAGCTTGGGAAAGCATTAACGGACGGCATAGTTCGAACTGGCGGTGGACGGCGATGCCCATAGACGGTATTATCACGTGTTAAACATAATATTAACCATATAACGGTTGATGTACACTAATGAGTGACGACAGGAATGGAATCAGACAAATGGAGGGCAGTGTTAGTACGCGAGATCTAATACCAGGGGGAAAGCTATAGAGATGGTTGGCAGTAGCTAGTATTGCATTGGTGGCTAATCTAATCCTTGAGAAAGGGAAAGGAGGTTGTTGACCACAGTGTGGTGATATTGCTATTTACAGGATGGATGCGGAGCATCATGTGATCACTGATCACAGGGTCCTTTCACCCTGCCCCTCCTCATCCGTTTCTCCCCCCTTTTTGTATGTATAGCGGCATTGTAGCCTGCCCTATGGTTGCCGGTGGCATTGTGCCTGCCCCATACATATAGCAGCATTGTAGCCTGCCTTATGGTTGCCAGCGGCATTGTGCCTGTCCCAGCGTGTATCACTAGTGGGAGCACCTGCCCCAACCCGCGGTTGGCAGTAGCCCTGCCCTAGAATGTATTGTAAAGCAGTTTGTATGTATGCATAGGTTATTAATATGTTTTTAGAAGATGCAAAGCATCATCATTGTTTGTTTTTAAGATTTTTTTTTTTTTTTTTTATGTGTTTCTCCTCATGCAGACAGCTGTCTCAGTTGAAAGAGATCAGTTAATGTAGCTGATTTTAATGAATGTATTCTCATACTTACTATGCTGCAGTGTGAAATGAGAGTAATATTTCTAATTGTAAGTTTATTACATCTGAAATTGATGATTGTTCTAGATCTTGATCTGTTGATTTGAGTTGTGTTGAATAACAGTGATAATATTAATATATAAATGAATCTGTATTTACAAGTTGAGTTGAGTCTACTTACTCATTCATCAAATTCTGATTCTTTGTGTTATTATTATACTCTGTATTTGACTCTCTCTCTAATTATTCAGAAGTTCATTATTTTCTCTATATCTCAGTTATCTTTCTCTGAGTGTGTGACTGTGCATGAGCATTTCATGATATACATAATTTAAGAAGAGAGATGTAAAATATATTATGAATCTGATAGCTTGATAAGAGATTTAGCTAATATACTTATGATCTGATTTGCACTTCTATATGAAAGAGACTCAGAAATTTGTGATTTAACTTTGTATTTGATCTTTATATAGAGAGATTCTTTGTATTTAAATAGACTTTATATTTAACTTGAAATTCTTATGAGTTATCTTTAGCATACTTCTTCATAAGATCTTGAGTATATAGTAGTTTCTCTTATACTGTCTGCTGTGTCTTTCATACTAGAACTGCTGTGTATTTCACTTAACATTTATCTATTGCTTTCATTGATATGTCAGAGACAATGAGAAATAGTGATTGATATTTCAGATTTATAAGAAATGAGAATATTCTCAGTATGAAATAAATTGAGTTACTGCATATAAATTCTGCTTATAACAGTAGATCTGTTCAGTCATGCTATAGATAGTTAGTGTACAATTGTAGATAGACTTTCAATTCTCTGTTTTATCTCTCTATCTATTCATCTATTTGAGAATGATAGATGATTGATAGTCAGTGATTGATATATATACTTTTTATTAAAGCTTCTCAGAAGTTAGAGATGAAGAGATAATCTCAGTCAGAGATAATTACTGCTGATATATTATGTAATCTGATAATATTCACTATAAAGATATGTATGAATATTTATAAGATAAGATCTGTGATGGTGAGTATATAATATAATCTCTTTGATTATTTGCAGCAGAATACAGCTATGATATCAACCGCCCCATCACGAACTCGCTCGATTTTTCGAATAAGAACCCGCCGATAGATCCATCGAAAAGCCCTCGATCATACGAGCATTTGGACCCCATCGCCGACCGCATACCCCGTGTGGTGGTGGAGATATCCAGCCAAACGTGAACTAGACGTTGTTCGAAACTCCCGTGTGGGATTATCCCCCGTTCACCCCTACCACACCACAACCCCGGGCCAAAGTGCCATACAAATTGTAAGGTGAAGAGACCTAGCCATATGCACCAATCTTCTCGATTTTGGAAGATCCCCGATCTGTAGTTGTGGAGATATCTGAGGAGCGACCTCCGCGAAAACCCTGTCCATCTTTGATGTTCCAAAACAACAACGCCAAGTCCCACCCTCGTACCGCCCTTCCTAATCTGGCCCATCCCCGGCAGAAAAATACAAAAAGATACCTCGGCGATAATATCAAGCATATAACCAACGGCCACTTCTGAAGTGCAACCTCCGCGGTCTGTCTTCAGTGTATCTAGACATCAACGCCAAGTCTCACCCTCGTACCACCCCTCTCAATCTGGCCCATCCCCGACAGAAAAGTACAAAAAGATACCTCAGCAACTGTACTCGATACATAATCGGCAGACATGACAACTATAAAATCAGTATACCCCAAGGTCTGACTGAGCCTTTGATCCCTGCACAGTGAGATATATTAAATCTAGTTTTAATACCTCAATATTCAATAGATTCTGCAAGGAATTGAGAACAGCAACACTAGATTTCTATTGAATTTGAGAATTAACTCTATATTGATATAATCATTGACAAAGTCTTCTATTTTGAGATATAAATAATCAGTTTCTCTACATCTCACTGACAATATTTACATTATTATGTAGAAACAGACTTATATTCTCTATAATATCAAGACTCTGAAGAGAGAAAGTCTTGATAGAGAATATACAGTAGTGCATATCTTAGTAGTTTCTATCTCATTCTTCTACAGCAGTTAATGCAAAAAAAAAAGATTTCAGAAATAGTTTTTTACTTCTCTTGAAAAAGTAAGATGTTTTTCTCTGGGTTTTACACAATATTCTTACAAAGAATTAAAAACAGAGTTATTTTCTGTCATAATTTCATATTCTTTTAAGTAAGAATTACTTTTTCAGTGACTGAAGAGCTTTCATTAATACTTAATTCTTTTTTACACTCTTTATTAACTGATTTGAGTTGCACACTTATTGTGTGAGAAGAATTGAATAATTTAGAATAAAATTGAATAGTTTTAATCAATTTCTCTGCAAAAAATTGATTTATTTTTTGTCAGTTTTTCTCTCAAAAACTGTCACATTATCTGATTTACTATCAATTGATATCATACTTTTCCTCACTGTATTCCAAGAAAGAGATTATAAAGATTTTATTGATTTATCTTAAAAATCAATTTAAGTTTATTAGATTCTCTTCAAAAATCTAACCTAGTTACTGAACTAGTGTGAAAAAAATCAGATATTTTATACATAAAAGTCTGTTATTCTTCTTTTGAAATAGTCTGATCAACTTTTCAATTGAAAACAGACTTAGAAACCTCTTAATTGAAACAGTCTGACCAACTTTTCAATGTAAAAGAGTTTAATAAATATCTCAATTGAATTAGTCTGATCAACTTTTCATTGAGTAAGAATAATGAGTTCAAAAGTACACTCAGTTGATGGGGAAAAAGATGCTTTCTCAAATACTATTCCTGAGATTGAAATTCTGAAGAGAAGAAAGAAAGAAGAAATAGAGAAATAACAAGTTCTTGAAATACAGGAACTTGAAAAAGCAAGCAAGATTCTTGGAAAGCAGTGTCTGAGTGAGATGAATGAAGAAGTTCTGTTAATTCTTCATGCTCAGACTAGACAACTACAGGAGATGATCAAGTTTCAACTTAGAATCTCAAACATAGTTTAAAAAACATTGAAAATTCCTAGTACAATCACTGACTCTTCATCTTACTCTTCTTCTTTCTTTTTTTCTACTTCTTCTTCTTCTTTGAATCAGAAGAAAACATATACTCAAGCAGCTGAATCTGCTGTCTCTAAACCTGCTGTCTCAAAACCTGCTCATAATTCTGAGAAAACTGAGAAGAATACTGCTCATGTCTCTATTCATAGAAAAGTGAAAAAGAAAATGCAAAAAGAGAAAAACTTTCAAATCTTCAGAAATAGAAGACTTATTCTCAAAGTCTCAAATCAGGACATTCTGCAAAGAAACAAGCTAAACTCAAATCTCATTTTCAGAATCAGAAATGAAATTAATCAGCAGTTCTTTTCTCAGTTAATGACTGATATTAAAGTTCAAAAATCAGTTATAGCTTTAATTAAGTCATCATTCTTTGAAAACTTCATTATTCTGACTACAATGCCTGAATTCAGTACTGAATTCCTTATTCAGAATGAGAATCTCTGAAAGTCAGTAGTAGAATCTTTGCTAAACACAATAATTCTATCTGAAAGAGATGAAAAGTGAGATAAATTCATTCTTTATAATATTTCAGTTGAAATTTTTGACTGTGAAGAAGAAATGCTACTTCTCAAAAATGAATTAGAAGAATACAACTCTATTCAACTGAGAAAGAAGCCTGTATAACTAAATTTAATTAAGTTCAGACAAAGCAGGAGAAATGCCTCTGTTCTAGTATATACAAAAACACTTGAACAGTCAAAGATCTCTGAAGTAAGAGTAGTAGATTTGAAACTGAGAGTTCATGAATACAAAGACTCAAGAATGAATCTCAAAGCTCAAACACAGTGTTCAAACTGTCAAAGATATGAATACTTTGCAATCTCATGTTTTAGAGGCTCAAAATATGCATTCTGTGTCAGAGATCACAAAACTAGTGAGCATAAATATGAAACATGCTCAAAAAGAGATGAAATTTGTCAATATACTCTGCTTAAGTGCTTGAATTGCAAAGAAAAACATGCATCTAGCTCAAAAGAATGTATGTCTACTTCTAGAACTTAAAAGAACTGGAGAAAAGATGAAGCTCAAAGTCAATCTAGAACTGAAGAGAAGAGTCAAGTCAGTAGACTTATAACTGCAAGCTCAAAAAGAAGAAACTCTCAACTATCTAAATCTTCAAACTTCAATTCTTCAGCTAAATATAAACAGAATTTGAATCCTCAAACTCCTGTTAAGATTAGAGAATTGAGAAATGACTCTGATGAGAAACTAGATATAATGCAAGCAGTTGAGATTCCTACTTTTCAAA